GGGTCCACGGATTGAGTGCTGGGCGTGCACTGGGTTTGCAATGTATCGGCCAGCAGCTCTGCTTTTTCGTCATCATCAAACGCCGCGAGTCGGCCTGAGGGGCCTACGAGGGGGGGCATAGTTACTACCGTATCCGATTTGAGAGTACGAGCTAAGCGGTAGTAAGACCTTTGGGAGGGCGCGAGTCCTTCTAAGAAATCAGACCATCTGGCATCTCGGACTTCCGCGATGCGAGACTTTACGTCGCGTTGTAGGGCACGCATTCGAATACGATTTTCCGCGGTAGGATACCTGTCGTAGGCGCGTATCGAGGCGTTCTTAGCTATAAGGAGTTCCCTAATATCGTCGGACAATTTGAAGCGGTGAAGGAAATCCTCCGGTACAACTTGTTTCGATGATCTATCTAATGTCGAGGTGATGTGTGACGTTAAGATGTCTATGGCTTCAGCGGTATCCTGAGGAGACGGGGTAGAGTCCGGGTTAAACGGGAGCGATGGTGGATCAGATTCAGCCAGGCTGATGCCCAGCGTGTGCCAATCCACCACAGTCCTCGTGACGGGAACGGAATCGGAAGCGCGATCGAGCTTCATAACGACGGGACGGTGGTCTGAATCTAACTCTGAAACTACTTCGATCGAGTGTAAGCGCAGAGTTACGTTTTTTAATAACGCTATGTCGAGTATATCTGGGCGATGCGCGATATTTAGCGGGTAAATGAAGTCTTCTATAAGAACTGTCCATAATGTTATTTATTTATTATTATTTATTATTACGAGATATATATTATTACGAGAAGGACCAAGAGCTCTTTCTTTTTTCGGGACTTGACAATCTGCAGATGTTGGGAGCAGACCGCGGGCCGAAGAACTTTTCGGGCCCCACCGCACTAAACGACTCCCCTGCACTCTTACATCTGACGTCCGATCTCCGCCCGGGGTCAGAACTCAGTCAGAGTAGGGGGGTTTCCGCGGTCAACACTACAACCAGACTCGCGGCGCCACCCCGAGGACGCCCGACCGAAAGGTCCTTGAGGCGATAGTCAACGACCAACGATACGTATGGCGGTACGGCTGTCCTACCAGGCCGCCCAGGCCATGCCGTTGGTGTTCCGGGCTCCCCGTTGGGTCAGAACCAGCCTGCCGGGTCGGACCGCCTACCGGGAGGACCAAGAGCCCAGCTCCATATAATAATTAAAATAAGCAAGCAACGGCGTGACAAAGTCGTCGTGGCCTAAAGGATAAGACGTCCGGTGCATTCGTATCGAGCGATGCACTGGTGTTCGAATCTCGCTGGCAGGTACCAATTTTTCTAATGAAATATGTACTCAACAAATGTTCACGATTGACTTCCACGGTGAAGGAATAACATCGTGCAATAAAAATCAAACCCGCAAAATGATAATTTGCGTAATTACTGGTGGTAGGACCTCTTGTGAGTCCGCACGGGTAGGTACCACCGCCCCGCCTATTTCTGCCGTGAAGCAGTAATGCGTTTCGGTTTGAAGGACGGGGCAGCCGTTGTAACTATACTGAGACCTTAGAACTATATCTCAAGGTGTGTGGCGCATTTACGTTGTAGATGTCTATGGGCCTCAGTAACCACTTAACACCAGGTGGGCTGTGAGCTCGTCCACACATCTAAGCAATAAAAATAAATAAAAAAAAACACAAAAGTTTTTTGTTTCACCAAAATAAGCCCCGTGTACAAGTAGAGAGTTGCGATGGCTGCCGTTCAAGAAGATGGCTTCGAATAGATGGAACATCCTCCATATTCATCGGACCTAGCTCCTAGTGATTTTAATCAGTTTCCACGGTTAAAGGAAGATATCAGGGGCCATAAATATCAAAATGATGACGCAGTAGTCATCGCGCTAAACGATTTTTTAAGATATCAAGAAGAAGATTTAAGAAATAAGGAAATTTTAGATTTAGAAAAAGATATATTAAGTCTATAACCTGAAAAATAACTAAAATAATATTTGATAAGAGGTAATTGCGTTATACATGTTTTTTATGGAACACGCCTAGTACTTTGCACGAAATTTAATTTAATTTAATGTTGTAAATCCATTCTTCATTCATTTTAATAACAAACATTTTCTTATAAGAGAATACAACTGTATATTTCAGATATCAATACAGTATGTTACGCTCTAGCTAATCGTCAATAAACCTTCATCTGATCATGAAGTGTTAGTTGGGATTCTTGAAGGGCTGTTATTATTATATAGTAAGCTTATCGAGTTTGAGTTCGAGATTTGCTTTAACGATTGCTAAGCTAATTAAAAATTAATTACCGTGTTTTCTTCACTGCCAATGTCAGTCTAATACCGACTACGGACTCACAGCGAGAACTCTCGGCGTGAAGGCTCGGCGAGACTTGACTTGACACCAGGTAGGCTGTGAACTCGTCCAACCATATAAGCAATAAAAAAAAAAAAAAAAAAAAAAGAGAAATAGGGGCACTGTTTACACTCACGGTGAGTTCTCAGTCACGTTCTTGTCGTCTTCCGGTAGTGATGACTTTGCTAGTACAGGCGCTTTGGTATTGTGTGTACACTAAATCTAGTTGTATCATTGTTTAAATAGTTGTATAATATATTGTATAATCTTGGTTCATCATGAAAGTTTTTCATAAACTTTAATTTCAAGTCGGACGAGCTCACAGCCAACCTGGTGTTAAGTGGTTACTGAAGCCCATAGACATCTACAACGTAAATGCGCCACCCACCCTTATAGGCAGGGTGGTGATACCTACCCGCGCGGATTCACAAGAGTCCTACCGCCGGTAATTATGTAAATTATAACTTTGCGGGCTTGATTTTTATTACACGATGTTATTCCTTCACCGTGGAAGTCAATCGTGAACATTTTTAGAGTACGTTTTTCATTAGAAAAATTGGTACCCGCCTGAGATTCGAGCACCGGTGCATCGCTCAACATGAATTCCCCGGACGTCTTATCCTTTAGGCCACGATGACTTCATGTATTTATTTTTACATAGAGGAGTTCAACTCTACGCGCTACACATACCGGAAATACGTTTGGCGTCTTGTCGTACGTATGTCTCGAGTGTTCTCGGGGTTTCTCGTCGTGAGTTTGTACGGCCTAATACGTTCTTTGTCGCTCGATTAGCTTTTTTTTCCTACCTAAGTTGAGAGCCTTGAGAGGCTATTTCAGCGTAACCTTAACTAGTAGGTGAGCTCACGGGAGGAGACTGCCTCCTCATAGGGGCCGGAGCTGGACAAACGCCCTCCTCCGACCCCCGGCTCGGCGGCGGTGGCACGGCGCCGAGAGGGAAGAAGAGCTCTTCCTCTCCCGTTCCACCACCTCCTTCTGCGAGATGGTGGACTCGCAGAAGTCGAGCATCGCCTGCCAGGACTCGTCGCTGCCGAGCATCGTAGCCACGACGGTCGGAAGCGACAAGTCCGGTCCTATTTTTGCAACGAGGACGCGACGCTGCTCCGCGAAAGCGGGAGAGCCTTAAGAGGCTATTTCAGCGTAACCTTAACTAGTAGGTGAGCTCACGGGGCTCAAACCTGATGACGTTGCTAGCACGAACCCTAGCAAGAGCCGTGCTTCGCAGAATCTACCACCGGATCGGAAACGCGACCCATTGAGAAGATCCGGCGAGAAACTCAGTGGGCTGTGNGCAACGAGGACGCGACGCTGCTCCGCGAAAGCGGGAGAGCCTTAAGAGGCTATTTCAGCGTAACCTTAACTAGTAGGTGAGCTCACGGGGCTCAAACCTGATGACGTTGCTAGCACGAACCCTAGCAAGAGCCGTGCTTCGCAGAATCTACCACCGGATCGGAAACGCGACCCATTGAGAAGATCCGGCGAGAAACTCAGTGGGCTGTGCCTGAGGGTTAATTAACTCCTCGAGCCCTTCGTCGTAAGCGACGGGTTCGACGAGAACGATGACCGGTGCTTGAGGTATCTAAAAGCACCGTTAGTAGATCGGGAGGATCCGAAATGACCTCGATTAGCGTTTCCGCTGTTGCCGTACAGCTGTTCGCACAGATAATGCGTCGGCTTGATCAATTTAACATTGTAATTTTTTCAAGGTTTAGATTAATTTGTTTTTCATCAAGAATTAGTTTAGATGTCAGTTGTTGGTAGAAATAGAATTAGAAAATTAGGTGAATTGATTAGAAGAATTTTATGCAAATCTTTTATTTATTTATTTAGTGTCATCAAATCCTTTTGACTTGGAGGTAATTCTGAAGACCTGCTTGGAGAAAGACGATTTACATAGATTTTTTCGACCGGGGATAGGGAATGGTGGCATTTTTGCACCAGGTACGTTTGTTCAACTTGTATGTCTCAGAGATTCATTCATACTTCATATAATATCTTCTACCTTCTACCAGTCTAACATATTTATTATTATAGTGTTATTTATTCTTAGTTTTCGTTAGCTTGTTTAAAATACGTACTGTGTCATCTCGTTGGCTCATTTTGAAGTGAAAACTTCTTTAGAATCGTTGTGATTTCAAACCGGATGCAACGGAAAAAACGACAGGTAAGAGACACAAATACAAAAATATGTAGGATGAAGCCAGCAAAGAATGAGACAGAAATATACATACTATTTAATACAGCGCCATCTGTGAGATTTTTTAATACTAACGTGTGTATGAAAGCTCTTGTAGTGAATTTTAATTTAGGATTATACGTGAAATTAAAATATCAATTCACAGAGGGCGCTACCTTACAATTATTTACTAATGACAAAATTTTACATATACTTAAGACGTTTAGGATAATTGTATTTTAATTTTGGAAGGTTTCACTTCTACCACGTGTGAATTGCACACATTTTGTTTTTTTATATGGATATTGCTTTAAAATTACTTCATTTCATTGCTACGAGTCTTGTATAGTATTGATGAGTTCGTGTAATACATTTGTGTGTATAAAATGAAATTTTAGTGTCGATATGGCGAAGACGTCGAAAAATTATGGTGACAGCGTTCAGTCCGAAAATAGTTCACAGTTTTGTAGGAATAATCTCTGAGCAAAGCGAGAAGCTTGTTTCAAGTTTGAGTAAATGCGTCGGCAAAGGGATGTTCAGCTCTTGGCCTTTTCTAAGCGCTTACACATTGGACTCTGTTTGTGGTAAGTTACAGCTTAAATAAAATCACGAATACTAAGTCTCCCTAGTTAAGGGTCGGGTTTTATATACATATTATATTAAAGTTTCCTTTTTTATTGCTTTGATGGGCGGTCGAGCTCACAGCCCACCTGGTGTTAAGTGGTTACTGGAGCCCATAGACATCTACCATGTAAATGGGCCTTGAGATATAAGTTCTAAGATCTCAAGTATAGTAACAACAGCTGCCCCACCCTTTAAACCGAAACGCATTACTGCTTCACGGCAGAAATAGGCAGAGTGGTTGGACCTACTCTACCCGCGCGAACTCACAAGAAGTCCTACCACCAGTTTCTCAAATGATACAGTTTTTTTTTGCCGCTTTCATTTTTATTACACGAAGTTATTCCTTCACAGTGGAAGTCAATCGTAAACGTTTGTTAAGTACGTATTTTATTGGAAAGATTACTCGTGATTATATGAGTCTGAACGGACATGTACCATCACCCTGTCTATTTCAGCAGCAAAGTAATAATGTATTACGGTTTGAAGGGTGGGGGGCAGTCGTTATTTAAAAGGAATGGCGACTTTCTAATATTTCAGGGCGATATTATCCTTACAGTTATCTGTTCTAGTAATCACTTAAAAGTAATTGAGGCCGTTGAACTTTTTAGAAATAATAAGATTAAAAATACGTTTTCATTTTAGAAACGGCAATGGGCGTGAATATCAATGCACAAGCAAAGGCTGACTCAGAGTTCTTGAAATCTTTGAACCGTTTTCTTAACGTTATCTGTGAGAGGATATTTCATGTATGGCTGCATCCGGATTGGCTTTTCAAACAGTTTCCTGTGTTCAATGAGCATCATAAGTGTATTAAAGTGTGGCATGAATTTNATTTACGCTTGGATGAACTTACTGTTTCCCTTCAATTACTTTTTTGTAATAAATAGTTTTGAACTTAATATTGCTCGTATGAAGCGACAACGCGTTAATTGGTTCGTTTTATATTTTTGCAGGTTATCAATATGCAATGATTTCGATGAAGGCTTCTTTATCTGCGATATTACGTAGATACAAGGTAGTGGGTGAACCGGAGAAAGGTCCTGTTCCTCGAATCAGGGTAAAAGTGGACATCATGATGAAGTCAGTGGACGGATGCCAGGTGGCTTTGGAGAGAAGGCCGACCAAATTATAATATATTAAAGAGAAAATTTGTTGCTGATATTTCCAATAGAACATACTTCATGTCTGAAATATATTACATTCATTAAATCGGTTTGTGCGCCACTTATTCGTCCTTATAGTCATTATGTCAGACATATTCAAACACTCTCAGAATTTTGAGTTTGACGTTCAACCTAGCCCATACACATAAACACTGCGTTTCTCGCCGGATCTTCTCCTGTGGGTCGCGATTTCAATCCGGTGGTAGCGAAGCAATGCTCTTGCTAGGGCTAATATTAAGTTCTCCTGGGTTGAGCTCCGTGAGCTCAGCTACCAACCCCTTAGGCTACCACCAATCAAGTAGGAAAGAACTCTTAGAAAATAAGCCTTTGTGATTCATAAAAAAGGCGCTCATTATAAGCCGAGTATATCACGTTGGAATGCTGATATCACGAAGCATTTGAATTATACAAGAACGATATATGGAAGCATCCAATCTTATATAACTAATCCTCCCACATCGTGGCCTAAAGGATAAGACGTCCGGTGCCCTCGTGTTGAGCGATCCACCGGTGTTCGAATCTCAGGCGGGTACCAATTTTTCTAATGAAATACGTACTCAACAAATGCTCACGATTGACTTCCGCGGTTAAGGAATAACATCGTGTAGTAAAAATCAAACCCGCAAAATTATAATTTGCGTAATTACTGGTGGTAGTACCTCTTGTGAGTCCGCACGGGTGGGTACCACCATCCTGCCTATTTCTGCCGTGAAGCAGTAATGCGTTTCGGTTTGAAGGGTGGGGAGCCGTTGTAACTTTACTTGAGACTTGGGTAATAATTTTAATTGAATTTTATGCTCAGCACTATGCTTACTGTNTAAAAATCAAACCCGCAAAATTATAATTTGCGTAATTACTGGTGGTAGTACCTCTTGTGAGTCCGCACGGGTGGGTACCACCATCCTGCCTATTTCTGCCGTGAAGCAGTAATGCGTTTCGGTTTGAAGGGTGGGGAGCCGTTGTAACTTTACTTGAGACTTGGGTAATAATTTTAATTGAATTTTATGCTCAGCACTATGCTTACTGTCTCCTCTAGAGTGCAAAGAGTTAGTATGCAGGATATTCAGGAATTAAGTCTTGAAATTTGTAACTATACTGAGACCTTAGAACTTATATCTCAAGGTGGGTGGCGCATTTTACGTTATAGATGTCTATGGGCTCCAGTAACCACTTAACACCAGGTGGGCTGTGAGCTCGTCCACCCATATAAGCAAATTAACATAACCTAAAATCCCATTACCATACCCAATTCCATTCTAACTCCTAGTTATTATGTGGCCCAGTGTTAATATAGCGTTTCCTGTGTAGGTGACATTTTCTTTATCTACAATCTTCAAACCCCTGCTAGTACAATTTCTTTGCTTCTTATCGTCGATTACGAGAGATGCAATTAAATATGTTTTAGTGAGTTTTCTGTTACAATTGAACGATCACAGATGGTTTTGTATTTTTGTTTTGTTCGTCTTGTCATATTGTTTGCCTTGTCGTATATGTATTTGCTAATTTAGATAACTTTTTTATGATACCAAACCATAGGGCCCGGGCATATACCTTTATGCATGGTATTTGGTGATCTGTATTTGAGTGTAGTTGTTAATATTTGGTAAACGTTTCCGGCACGCATACACTATAAAATTTCAGCTCGATGTTGTATGTACATATTATTATGTATTTTTTTGTTTTGAATAATAAATGTAGATTATCACACTTAAAACATTTTCTTTTAATTTCCTAAAAGCACCATCACTATTATCTAATTATTATAATTTCTCAAAATCATATTAGGTAGGTATTTGTATGTATTATACATGTAAATTAGATGTAATAAAAGTAAAAATGAAACAAACAATAGACATTTAATTTAACTTATTGTTCTTTGAATTTTGGTTGATACCCACGTAATACAAAATGAGAGAAAGAAAAAAAAAATTAACAAACTGCTAAACACCCGAAACTATAACAACATCGTCGAAGCGTTGCTACCTTCTGATCGTATAAGGAAAATATCTGGAGTTTCCGTGGTATATTTCGCTGTCAACTCTGAAAATCGTATCGTTACTAAATTTAGTTTCATCGGTACAATATTCTTTTTATTCTGGTATATTTTATATTTTTATTGCACGTACAAAGCCCATAGTGAAGACCAAACGATTTTGCGAACGATATACAATACGAAATTGAAGCGTTATGGCGATGACTTCGAGAGAATAGCTTCAATAGTCTACGTCACTTATTCGATGTGGAAGGTCCCGTTCCGTATGAGTGGAAACCAAGTTTTTATACAAAGGATTGTAGATATCGATAGCGCAATAGAAAATATGGGCGAGGCTGTGGACTACAATAAAAACGCTAAAACAGCTCTCGTAATTTCGATCGCTCAACTCGGTGACTTTCTTGTTCGCATGTTTTGTATATGGCTATCATTGGAAAATCTAAGCGTCATTGTTCCAACTGAGAAACTATACCAAGTCGTCTACACTGATGCACTTTCTTTTGTTATAACTTCACATTATTGCTTCTCTTTAATAGTCTTGAGAGGCCGATACAAATATATCAATAAAGTTCTTAGTGAAATAAAGACTCGTAGTGCTTGGGAGTACAAAGTTTTTGTCCGTAACAAAGTGGCTCCTGACTTGGAGAAAGTGCAGAAGCTTCAAGATAGAATTGTTTGCGAGAAGATCAAGGCTTGTGCGAGAATCTATAGCATGTTATACAAGGCAACGGAAGCTATAAATCGAATGTACGGTACAGCTTTGGTTTTGACCATGCTGTTGTATTTGGTATTTATAATATTGTACATGTTTTATTTCATGGAGGCTACCGCTTCGCGGTTGCTGTATGATATAAAGAAGTATGTGGATTTCTTGATTTGTGTCTTTTGGCAGATGTCGCATGCTCTCAGCATTATTTACGCAAATGTTTATTTCAGTGAATCCATTACGCGAGAGGTATGTAAGTTTTAATTTAATTCATTATGCAACGAGGCAAAAACTTTTCGTTTTTAATTTAGCGAGCGATAATTGGTGTGCGCGGTATTAAATGTAAATGTGTGGTGTATGTAAATGAGTCTCAGTTGTGTGTGAGTGTATATGTAGTAGCTCATAATATCACTACCCTCCAGAGACGCGGGCGATAATAATTTGGAAACCGGACATGTCGCCCAATACCGTTGCTTTAGGTAGTGCCAAAGGATTTTCTGTGGGAGCTTGATGAATTCATAATTGCCCAGGAATCCTCTGTAAGGAACCCTCTTCAGCTAAGACTAAGCTGGTTTGTGGCGGTCTGTAGTAACGATTATCAGTTTACCCTTGTTCAGTATTTTAAATTTTTTTTCGTACCGTTCCAAAACCTGGTGTGGTTCTGTGAAAGCTGGCAGAAATGGAGGACACGAAGAGTCGTCACGTAGATAGACATATGCGGCGTTTCTCCTTGAAAAGCTTGCTCCTTTGTTTATTATGCCGTAGGGCGGGGGGGATCCGCTGTAGTTTTTTGGCGAAAGAACTTAATTGAGTAGTGAAGTGGGTTACGACCATTGTACTGGGTACGGTTTGATTGACAATTTACCGGGGAGATTTAAATCTCCTAGAGGTTTGTCATAGAGCAATCCGGCGGGTGAAGCCTGTAGATCCTTTTTAAATTGATGGGCATTGCAAAGGAGTTGATGTGGCGTTAGCTATCATATAACACAAGATATTTGGCATATATACAAGTTCCGAACAACAAAATTCGGACCGTCAGTCTACCGAGAAATTTCACCCGCTCGGTGGAAGATCTTCCCTTTGTCATTATTCCCAAAGTGGCAATGAAACAGGGATTAGTGTGAGGATTTAGTTGAAAAATATTGTGAGAATATTATTATTAGTACAGAAGATTGGGAAATATACATTGATAGTTCAATAAGCTATTCTGAAGTAAGATTACTTGATTAAAATGATTACATTCTATTCTAGCAATTATATTTTTATTTTACAGACGAAGAATACTTCTTTCGTGATTCACGAAATAATAAATAGTGATTTTGACTCAGAAGTTAACACAGAAGTACGTATATATTTTAGGTTACAAGTAGCTTATCGTAGCTTTGAATGGACCATTCTTTATAACCACAGGGTTAAAACTAATTCTGTACCGAATTTCGTAAACATAGGTTCAGTAGTTTTGGAATGAAAAATGTAATAGACAGACAGAGCTACTTTCCTGTTAATAAATTATAATTAATCTGCTAAATTTAACATCAAGAAGATGAATTATTTCTTTATTTATAGCATAGTTTGCGAGAAGGCATTGTCAAAATAATATTTTTTCCTAAGATGAGTAACAAGTTCACCGTCTTTTTAGTGTTAAATAGTTTCTGGAGACAATGATATCAAACGTTAATGCCATCACACGCCTTGAGATATGAAGTCCATCAAACCGGATCGCATGTCTTCTTGGTGGTAGTAGTGAGCAAGAGTAGTATTCAGGCGGGCTCAAATGTATGTATAACTGGAGAATGACCGAGCTTTGCTCGGTTTTTTTTTTAAATTGTGTTGTTTAGAAATTATATTTTAATACGAATTACATATTGATAAAATGATGAAATATGAATAATATTTTTCGATCATACCGACAGAATAATAAAAAAAAATATGAACTGGTTATTTAAAGAAAAAATAAAAATTATCGATAAAGTTGATTATGAAAAACACGAATAAAACAATATTTTCTGAAAATAAATCGTAGCTAGATCGATTTATCGCCCCCGAAATCCCGTTTTTTTTTATAGCTTAGGTGGATGGACGAGCTCACAGCCCACCTGGTGTTAAGTGGTTACTGGAGCCCATAGAAATCTACAACGTAAATGCGCCACCCACCTCGAGATATAAGTTCTAAGGTCTCAGTATAGTTACAACGGCTACCCCACCTTTCGAACCGAAACGCATTACTGCTTCACGGCGGAAATAGGCGGAGTGGACTCACAAGAGGTCCTACCACCANGCGAGAATCTATAGCATGTTATACAAGGCAACGGAAGCCATAAATCGAATGTACGGTACAGCTTTGGTTTTGACCATGCTGTTGTATTTGGTATTTATAATATTGTACATGTTTTATTTCATGGAGGCTACCGCTTCAGGGTTGCTGTATGATATAAAGAAGTATGTGGATTTCCTGATTTGTGTCTTTTGGCAGATGTCGCATGCTCTTAGCATTATTTACGCAAATGTTTATTTCAGTGAATCCATTACGCGAGAGGTATGTAAGTTTTAATTTAATTCATTATGCAACGAGGCAAAAACTTTTCGTTTTTAATTTAGCGAGCGATAATTGGTGTGCGCGGTATTAAATGTAAATGTGTGGTGTATGTAAATGAGTCTCAGTTGTGTGTGAGTGTATATGTAGTAGCTCATAATATCACTACCCTCCAGAGACGCGGGCGATAATAATTTGGAAACCGGACATGTCGCCCAATACCGTTGCTTTAGGTAGTGCCAAAGGATTTTCTGTGAGAGCTTGATGAATTCATAATTGCCCAGGAATCCTCTGTAAGGAACCCTCTTCAGCTAAGACTAAGCTGGTTTGTGGCGGTCTGTAGTAACGATTATCAGTTTACCCCTGTTCAGTATTTTAAATTTTTTTTCGTACCGTTCCAAAACCTGGTGTGGTTCTGTGAAAGCTGGCAGAAATGGAGGACACGAAGAGTCGTCACGTAGATAGACATATGCGGCGTTTCTCCTTAAAAAGCTTGCTCCTTTGTTTATTATGCCGTAGGGCGGGGGGGATCCGCTGTAGTTTTTTGGCGAAAGAACTTAATTGAGTAGTGAAGTGGGTTACGACCATTGTACTGGGTACGGTTTGATTGACAAATTTACCGGGGAGATTTAAATCTCCTAGAGGTTTGTCATAGAGCAATCCGGCGGGTGAAGCCTGTAGATCCTTTTTAAATTGATGGGCATTGCAAAGGAGTTGATGTGGCGTTAGCTATCATATAACACAAGATATTTGGCATATATACAAGTTCCGAACAACAAAATTCGGACCATCAGTATACCGAGAAATTTCACCGGCTCGGTGGAAGATCTTCCCTTTGTCATTATTCCCAAAGTGGCAATGCAACAGGGATTAGTGTGAAGATTTAGTTGAAAAATATTGTGAGAATATTATTATTAGTACGGACGATTGGGAAATATACATTGATAGTTTAATAAGCTATTCTGAAGTAAGATTACTTGATTAAAATTATTACAATCTAGTCTTTATATCTAGCAATTATATTTTTATTTTACAGACGAAGAATACTTCTTTCGTGATTCACGAAATAATAAATAGTGATTTTGACTCAGAAGTTAACACAGAAGTACGTATATATTTTACGTTACAAGTAACTTTCCGTAGCTTTCAATGGACCATTCTTTATAACCACAGGGTTAAAACTAATTCTGAAACGAATTTCGTAAACATAGGTTCAGTAGTTTTGGAATGAAAAACGTAACAGACAGACAGAGCTACTTTCGTGTTAATAAATTATAATTAATCAGCTAAATTTAACATTAAGAAGATGAATTGTTTTTTATTTATAGCATAGTTTGCGAGAAGGTATTGTCAAAATAATATTTTTTCCTAAGATGAGTAACAAGTTCACCGTCTATTTAGTGTTAAATAGTTTCTGGAGACAATGATATCGAAACGTTAATGCCATCACACGCCTTGAGATATGAGGTCCATCAAACCGGAACGCATGTCTTCTTGGTGGTAGTAGTGAGCAAGAGTGGTAGGTATTCAGGCGGGCTTAAATGTATAACTGGATAATGAATGGATATATTTTTTTTTTAATTGTGTTGTTTAGAAATTATATTTAAATACGAATTACATATTGATAAAATGATGAAATATGAATAATATTTTTCGATCATACGGACAGAATAAAAAAAAAATGAACTGGTTATTTAAAGAAAAAAATCAAAATTATCGATAAAGTTGATTATGAAAAACACGAATAAAACAATATTTTCTGAAAATAAAACGTAGCAAATTATAATTTTTGCGGGTTTGATTTTTATTACACGATGTTATTCCTTCACCGTGGAAGTCAATCGTGGACATTTGTTGAGTACGTATTTCATTAGAAAAATTGGTACCCGCCTGCGAGATTCGAACACCGTTGCATCGCTACATACGAATGCACCGAACGTCTTATCCTTTAGGCCACGACGACTTCGACTATATTATATAGGTATATTAAATTTTATGAAAATTGTTGAAGCCGTTGCCGAGATTCAGATTATATGTATATTTATATACAAGAATTGGTCGTTTATAGATTTAAGATACATTCTAACACCAGTAATTATGCATATTTATAACTTTTTTGGATTTGTTTTTTATTGTATGATGTTATTTCTTCATTGTGAAAGTCGTTTGTGAAACACGTGTCTAAGTTAAATATCTCCTTAAACTGTAATCAGTACTCCGGTATAGTCTCATTATTTGATAAGCATACTTTCGGCATTTTATCCCTAAGGCCGTGATGATTTATAGCAAATTTAAGAGACAATTATTGTTGTAGGCGATGCGTTTGTCGATGCAACTTCTACACGAGGTTCCTAAGTTTACCGCCAATGGCCTTTTCGAATTAAACAATGCTCTGTTGTATGAGGTAAGGANCCAGTGATTACGCAAATTATAATTTTTGCGGGTTTGATTTTTATTACACGATGTTATTCCTTCACCGTGGAAGTCAATCGTGAACATTTGTCGAGTACGTATTTCATTAGAAAAATTGGTACCCGCCTGCGGGATTCGAACACCGGTGCATCGCTACATACGAATGCACCGGACGTGTTATCCTTTAGGCCACGACGACTACAAAATTGTCTCTTGCCGGGATAAACGTTCCGCTTAGTGACATCGTTAAAAATCTTGGTGTTATCATTTACCGCAGTTTGTTATGAGGACCACAACTGATGTCAGTCAGTCGCAGACT